AGCAGGTTGAGACCTACTGGTCCTTTGGCGCTCTAACGTGATTCCCAGTTGGGCTGCTAAGTCCACCTTCAAAGCAGATCATATTCTTCTCTGATTCTCTCTTACTGCATAAGTTGGAGACTTAACCACATCTTGGCTTTCTGTCCCAAGCCTTCGCTTTTCAGTGGGAGTGATTTCCCAGTAAAAATATTTGTTTATGGACAAAACCAAAAAAACAAGAACCTGACCCTGAGCATTGGATGAGAGGTACTTGTTATAACCAGAGGTAGCTCCAGAAGGTCATGGCAAGAGGAGCTTAGGGACAGCAACCCGGTTAGAAATGAGAGTTTTAGAACTTGTCCAAATCTGCATATACAAAGCGAAGATGTGGATTTGATGAAAATCGCATGTATAGACTTAGAGCAATAAAAATAGATTTTCTCCATGCTTCATCCACGTAAGGTTGGAAAAAACAACTAACTTACTTAAAGAATGAGAAGCTCCCCCAATGCCTGAAGGTAATAGTTTTTGGTGGGGGTTGCCGCTGATGACAAGTTAAAACATTAGGCTGAGAGAGGGCTTAGGGCCTGGGAAGGGGAGTGTGGAATGACATAAGACAGATGGCCGGCCCCCAGACTCCATCATTTCCTAGCTACGTGACCTCAGAAGAGTTACTCCAGCTCTCTGAGCTTTGGCTTCTGCATATGAGAAGCAGAGATATTGATAGCCACAAGTTTATTGTGAAGATGAAATGAAATAACATGTATAAAGCCCTATAGCAGATGTCAAGTGTCCCACCTCTGTCCCCTTAGGCCACCTTGGAGGTCACCTGTAGTCAGTTCCCATACACACCAACAGCTTCCAGAGTTCTCTGCCTGAGGTGTTCTCTGGCAGTGGGGCTGTGCTTGGCCCTTTCACAGAGCAGGCCAGAAGTGCTGGTAAATCAATGCCTCCAGGAAAGACCACCAGTGAGGGAAAGGAGTCAACGGGTAAGTACTCCAGTTCCCCACCCCAGGGGAATAACAGGTGTGTTCTACAGTTTCTAACAGGCCCCAGTAGATTGAGTCTCCGCTGCCCTCAGTGGTGATTTGCTCATCAACGCACCCTTCATTGGCTTTGCTCTTTTCCTCATCTCGCTCCCCTACTTCCTTGTTGTGCTTCCTGGAATCACTTCCAAATGAACTCTCTGCATTCTCAAATCCTTGTCTTAGGGTCTGCTTTGGGGGAACCCAAACAAAGATGAACATCAAACTCAGTTCCTGGCACCTAGAAAGGTCCCTATCAATGACGCCACACAGGCAGGGTTCCTCATCAGAATCAAACAACACAGAAATTATTTGAGCGATGATTTTCTCAATTCTCCCAAGGATGGTGCATAATTCATGGAGGAGACATGAATTCATTACATAGGATGACTGCCTTAGGGGTTTTGAGCTTAATTCTCTTGTAGAACTCCATCTGTAAACAAGTGTAATAATAATAATGGCAACTATCTCATAGGGCTGTAATGTAAAACTCTTAGAACAGTGCCTGGTTCTTAATAAGTTTTCCACAGGGTTACTTGTTGTCATCCTCCCCATGGGTTGTGTAGTAGAGAATGCTCGTTGTCCTCCAGTAACCCCTCTTTCTTTAGGAATGAGAACCATCCTCAGTGGCTGCCACGCCTCCCTTACAACTAAGTATGTCCCTGTGCCTGAGTTCTAGCCAATGGGTTGTGAGAAGCAATGCATGCAAGTGAGCCATCTCATCCTTACGAAGAAGATGCTTGACCTCCAACTACCCTTTGCCCTCTATGTGATGATTGAGAAATGGTGGCAACCGGAGTAGCCGGCTCAGTAACAAATATGGAAATCTTATACTGAGCCATCCCATTAGTCTGGATTGTTGTGTGTGAGAGAAATAAGATCCCATCTTATCCTACTGAATTTTAGGGTCTTTTGTTCCAGAAGCTTATCCTTACCTAACTGATCCAGCCCAAAGCCCAAAGATGGGATCAAGGGATGCAAGGTTCTTCCTTCTTTCATTTATCCATGGTGCCTATCATGTGCCCAGCCCTATGCCAGGAAATGAAGTCCCAAGATGGGCGGGATGCAGACCAAATGCCAAGGAACTGCAAGCGTAATGAGATAGAAGAATGTAAAAGCAAATAATTTCAACCTTCTGTGATAAATGCTCAAATAAGTGTTGCGGAGGCAGAGAAGTAACCAGTTACCTCAAGTCCTGAAAGTTACGGAAGTTTGTCAGGACTTAGGGGAGGGAGTGGGATGGTAATTGGGAGGCATTCCAGAGAGAGGTGACAGCACACGAGAAGTCGCGAGATGGTGGAAAACATGGGGCATTTCAGCAAAACAAAGTCTAGGTCCAACTTTCCCACTCACTTGCCGTATGGTACCTTGGGTGCTCACCTTAACATCCTGAGTCTCTGCAGTTTCCGAATCTGCAAAGCAGAATCAAAATCAGGGTGCCATACAGCGTCAACGATGGAACATTTTGAACAGCTATAAAGCATGGTGCAAACACTAGTTAATGGCATTGTTACTTGGAAAGTCTAGCTTGGGACATTTTTGCTGGCTGGTTATGCTCAGTTTCAGGACAAACAGAACCAGGCTCCTGGAGAACTAGTGCTCCTGGGAAGGTGGCAGGGGCTCTGAAACTCCCCAAGAAAAAAGGCCACTCAGCTTGGGAAATGGTTCAACTTTCTTCATGGCAGTCGGGCAATATATATCAAGGGCCTTAAAAACGTCCATTTTCTTAGGCCGCGGAGTTCACCCACTATTAAAGGAAATCACTGTAAACGCTGCAGAGGTTTGCATCCAAGATTGTTCTTTATAACAGCAACAACAAAAATAGGAAACTTATCTGTGTATTGCAAATTGTGGCACACGATAAGTTGCGGTGGACCGTTCTTTTGACGACATGGGTACATCTTTGTGGTAGGATGCTGGAGAGGAAGCATGCTGCGAATCTGGGCAGTACACTCCGAAGGGCCCGAGGCTCTTATTCTTTCGGTGCTCAGCTGAGCCTTTCACTGGGAACTACCCCTTATGCAGAGAGCCACCCCAACAAAGGCTACAGAATCTGTACTTTAAAGTTATCAGCGCTTATCTCTGGCTGGCATGAGTACAGGTGCATTTCTGAGCATGTCTAAGTTTTTTAGACGGATCACATGTTACTGTGCAGCTACACATTCCAGGTCCTCCCCACTCTATCTCCTTGCTATTCCTTGAACACGCTAGGTACATTCCTGCCTCAGACATTTGCATTTGCTGTTCCCTCCACCTGGCGGCCTCTTCCTCTGGACACATGCAACTCCTCTCTCTCACTAACTTCATGTCTTTGCTGAAATGTCCCCTCATGGGTAAGAACTCTTCAGATCCACTCTATTTAAAATACACACCCTCTCCCCCAGTATTCCCACTCCCCTTCCTGCTTCATTTGTGTCCATAGCACTTGTCCCCAACTCACATACTGTGCATTTTACTTCTTTCCTTATTGTCTGTCTTCATCCTTTAGAATGTAAACTCCACAAGAACCAGGCTTTTGTCCATTTTGTTTACTGAGGCATCTTCAGCACCCACAACAGCTGAGTGATGTTGTAAGTGTTCTAAGCACACAGTAGGTGCTCAACAAATCGTTGAAGAAATGAATAAATGCATGAAAAATACCATTTCATCTGAGCTCCTGCCAGGTTCCCCTTTAGAGGTGGGCACAGGTGTGGGGCAGGAAGTAGGAAAGAGCAGCAGGAGATGGGGGCGGTCCCTAGGAAGAAGGAGGGGCTCTGGACAATGCCAACTGATGCCAAACAGTAGCTCCGATATTAGTTTCACTATGACATTGGGGTCAGGTGGCAAAGGGTTTCCAAGGTGGTCCCCAGGTTGAGAGAAGCAATGTAGCTGAGCCTGGGGGCCCCAGGGCAGAGCAAAACAAACTAAGAAACCAACCTTACCCACGAAACATCCAGGTTTCGAGAACACTTAGGAAGTGGTGAGAGCTGTTCTCAAATACACGATGGGTTACCAGCAGCAAGAAAGTGATCCTAAGGGGCTGAACTAAAGCTAATGAGAAGTTACAAGGACTCCTATTTGGTTTGATATCAAGAATCATCTCCCGTCTCTTTCTCACCACGCCCAGAAGAGCTGTGCAACAATGGCCAGAACCCAGGATTCACTCCTGCATTGGTTGAACTTCCGGTCGATATATTCAGCAGTTATCTATTAAGTGCGTTTGCTCTGTGTCAGGTGCCATGCTCAACACTTTGAAAGCAATGGAGACTAAACATTATTCAAATAAATCAATACATATATACAGGACAATCGTAAATCGTGAAGGTGCAAAACTGGGTCACAAGAGGGAGGCCTTATGCAGACAGGGAGTCAGGAGGCCTCTCTAGGGCCTCCTAGATATTTGAGTGAGCCCTGAATGGTGAGCACATTTCCAGCCTGAGATCAGGGGGAAAGCCCCGGGCAGAGGGAGCATGGAGTGGTGCGCTAGGAATGGAAGGGGCCTCAGCGCACATGGAAGAAACCCGAGGCCCAGAGACCGGGAGTGACTTGCCCACGGACACACAGCAAGTCAGTGGAGCCGTCGAGGAGTGGAAGATCAGCCAAGTCCTCCCTGCCACCTCCCGGAAGCCAGATACCCGCCTCGTAACCTGACACACGAGCTGTGAGCGGCGGGGGCCAGAGGCAAAAGAGGTGAGGCTGGGAGTGTGAAGGTAACTGCGGCCGGACCCCCAGAGGGGTGGGGACGGGGCAGGGGCGGCCGGATGACGTCATTTCCGGGGTTGGGGGATATATAAGCCCCGCGCGCGAGCGAGGCTCTTGCTGTTGCTGCTGCTGCTGCAGTGTCCGAACTCAGTGCAGTAAGGCTGGTGGGCGGACCGACAGACGGACGCACACAGAGACCCCCCCATCCCCGCGCCAACGCCGCGGTAGCCCGCCCCGCCCCGCCAGTCCAGCCACCCCTCCCCCGGGTG